TTACACAAATTTCAAATCAATCTAAAATCAATCATATATATATATATATATAATTTTACACAGCTCCAAGTGCCCCTATGATTACAGGTACAATGTTAGCCCACATTTTTCAGTTTCCAATGTTTCATGTTTCTGCCATCTTTACCTTGCTACCATCTTAAACTAAAAAGATTTTATTTTCTCATTCATGACCATAAATTCATCTTATTCCTTTAATCCTAACAAGGTACAAGATTTACATATGCTCTAAAAAAACAAAAAAAAAAAAGTTAATGACATTATCTGCAATTCTGAATCCTAGTTAAAGAATAGAACAAACTAAATTTTGTATGCATTTTAGATGTATTTTCTTTTGACCTGATGGAAGAAAGATTTTTGATCTTCAATGAAGAACAAAAAAGAAATTTGGCATTTTTTTCTTCAAACAAAATTATCTTATTTGAAAATGTTAATATGAAATCATGTGAGTAGAAATGTTTGTTCTTTTTCATTTTTGAGGACACATAATTCTGACCAAATGACAGACATATACATTAAAAGACAAAAAGAGAGAAATTTTTTTTTTTTCACAAATCAACATTGACAATCAATAATTGTTCATTTGTGATTTCAATGAACAAATCTCACATTCTACTTAAAATGCTTGCGGAAGAGCAAGATAATTTTGTAGACTCTCCATGTGTCTGTCAATTTCAATCCTTACAGGCTATCCTAAAATAATGACCTTGTACTTGACTTAGCAAAGCTTAGTATTTTCTTCTTCTCTTCCTCAATACCAGTAGCAACTTACTCTGCTTTAGGAATTCACTGTAGTTGAGACCATCGAGTCAATGCGAACAATCCCTTTCCTTAGTTGCATAGAATGTGCTTTGCCAGGGCTACATACAGTTTTAAATTCAGAATTTTTCTTCTAAACCAGTTGCCACCCCAGGCTATAGAACCCAGTCTGTGTTACTATTTATGCATAGCTTAAGTGGGAGAATTGGATTCATACCTTTCCTAAGTGTATTAGCATGTAAGTGAATGTGACAAATATTGCTAACAGCTACAAAGGATAGGAAGTTGTGGAGAGCCATAATCACCCATGGCCTGAAGGGACACAGCACATAGAATATTAGGAAACATTTGGCATTTATTGACCAAGCAGCCAGTGCTACCTGTCAACTGAAACATATAAAATCTTTCTTTTTAAACACTTCTTCAGGAAAATAGGTTTTTCTCAAGTCCAGTAGCTGATATCACTCTTTCCAGTATTGATGAGGGTTTCCTTCCTAACCTTTTGCTTGAAGTTGTGTGGAATGCAAATATTTTGATTATGTCATTATTTTCTCTTCGATATATGTACTATCCATTTTAGTAATTGCTGCTGTTGAAAGTCCAAGTGATGTGATTTCTGTTATTGAGTTCAGTTATTTGTTTGTTTAAGTCCAAATTCATTTTCCCATTATTTTATAATTCTGTTTTTGTAAAAAAAAAAAAAAAAAAAAGAGGAAACAAGATTTTTAAAAAAAGTCAAAATTCTTTTTTAAAGTTAGTTTATTAAACTGATAAAGTAAAATTTCATAGCAGTTAAAAGGCGGTCAAACAAGACACACACACACACATACAAATGATGAAAATGCTGCCTGAAATTCAGCAAGTTTTTCAACTCACAACATTGATAGCTGGGTAGGTTGGGGTAAGAGTAAAGTGAAATGTTGTGACTGAAGTTGTAATATTGCAAATTTAGGGGTTAGAGTTTCAAGTCAGAGGAATCCAAGATGGCAGTCACCAAGAGATAAAAAAAACTATGATCAAAATTAAATTAGTTTGAAAAAAATTAAAAAAATGCATACAGTGAGGAAAAAAGAAAAAAAGAAAAAGAAAAACAAAGCTTGCACCATTAATAGATACAAAGCATTTTATTTTTTGTTTAAAGATTATTTTTTTTTTTTCCTTAGGTCTTTAGTTCATATTTGAATCTCCAAACTATGATGATGATATTGAAGAGGAAGAAGAGTAAGAAATAAAAACATTTCTGTTAAATTCATTTGAATTTGGTACAAGGACAAAGGAAACAGAAAGATTGGGTTATGTTGATCTTGCAAGTGAAGATGGCCATCCTAGCAAGATACACATTTGAAATCCAGACTTTTAACCTGGTTTTGAACATTGGCAATGGTAGGAAATAGTCAACTAACTGCAACTGTGGGGCAGGTTACTAATTTATGAAACACTTGTCCATTGGTCAAAAAATAGATCATTTTTAAAATTAGATTATTAACCTCTGTATTTTACAGAAACACTTAAGGACGGTGGCATTAAATGCAAGAATTATGGTGTTCTTGATAGCTAGCGTTATGCAAGATTCAAAAATTGCTAGATTTTATCAGACTGGACACATTATTTTGAGATTTAGCTGAGTGAATTCTAGTGTATTGTTTCTTAAGAAGAAAATCAATTTAAGAATTAAAAGCTAAAGACAGCTGACAGTTTGTCCAATTAACTTTCTATGTGATTGAAATTTTATTTAAAACTTGTTCTCTCATCTAAAATCAACTTTTTTTAATCCTTTTGAATTGCACAACATTGTACTCCTAATCATCCCAATGATTTATTGTCCTAATGAAATTAGTCCACAAGTTTCATGTTGGTCCAAATCTAATAAAATATTAAACTGAAATGCACAGAAAAAATTAAATTCAGTGATTTATTAATGTACTGAATATATAAAAAAATACACAGGTAAAATGTAACATTTTTGAATCTCATTGTCTCTTTCCACAATAAAAAGATATAAACTGCATTTTCCAAAGCAAAGAAAGTTACACAGATAACAAGAATCAAATTAATGCTTTAATTTTATAGAAAATTAGCAATTACTGAAATAATCAGCACAAATAAAAAAAAAAAAAAATTGTGCAAACCATTTTTTGTTTTCCAAAGTGAAATACCATTATTGGTTGTCTATAAAAATATTGTATTTTCAATATTTGTAATGTCATTTACGTTTAAGTAAGATAAACATGAATATTTATAACAAATTAAATTATGATTCAGTTAATTCTAAAAAATTGTGACATCATTCAAAGTTTTAAAGCTAAAAACAGAATAATCTTATTAAAATGTGTCATTTAAGGAAAAATGTAAACTTACCAAATAAAAAAAAAAATTTAACACTCTTGGCAGTATCTGGAGCACAAGTGGGTGGAGTAAGTACAGATACTTTTGTTAGAATAGAGATAAAAATTTTAAACTTTCCCCAAATTTCAAAATTTTTGTCTCATTCTGTATGCAATATTTTAGTAGTATTTGGTTTTTAATTTCTTTCGATCAAAATCACAACAATGATTTTCTTTTATAGAAAATCATTGATGTGATTTTGATCAATAATTTGAAAAAGTATCATTTACAAGGTGAAAGTGTTGGAAAGTTTCTAAGTCCAACTTATTTCCCAAAATCTAACCAAAAATAGCAGAAATTTTTGTATCTCATTCCCTTTTTAAAAAAACCTTTTCAGCAAAAGAAAAGAAAAAAGTTTCCCTTTATAATCAAATCAAATGAAAAAAAAAAATTTTTGTCACATTTTCCTCTGGGTCCACAAATCTGAGTGTTTGGCTATTGAGAATTTACAAACTGATTTTAAAATGCAAAATAGAAATTGCTTTCTCTATTCAACTACACAATAAATATCATGCAACTTTAAGAATAGTAACAACCATCACAAAAATGTGTGTGTGAGCTGAGAGACTAGAAGTGAAAAATAATCATTTTTGTTTCTTTCCCAATTATTTCATTATTTCATAAAACATAAAAATGGTTGTGTTGTTGCAAGCTTTTCTTTATTTTTGTTATGCATTTATGTTATGATGAAAACTGGACAACAAAATGATAAAAGGTCAAAATTCTTGACTGGAAGGCAAAGGAAGGATTTTAAGGTTAAGAAAAAAAAATCATGTGCCATCATCATCATCATTGTAGTAATCAAATGAAAAAAATATTATGCATAATGCCACATAACATTACCTGTTTCCTTATAAGGAAACATTTGGCATTCATTGACCAGTTGAAATAAAATCTTTGTCTTAACACAATATTTTTGGAAAATAGGTTTCTCAAGTTCAGTAGCTGTTATCGCTCACCTAGAATTGTACCAAACTGCCAAAAATTAAGTTTTTTCTTCAGATTCGTTATATGTTTTCTTTCTTTAGATGTGGTAACAATCTTTGTCACTGCAACATTGGAAAAGCATGATTTCGTCTTAGAACCAATGTAATAATCACAATGAATCCACACCATGAATTTCAAGTCAGACAGTGACAAAAGTTTTTACTCATGGAACGACAAACTTGGAAAAGAAAAAAAAAAAAAGAAGCATGGCAGGACATTGTGATAGCAAAATAGAAAAAAAAGGTTTGTAAATTGCAACTGAAATTTAAATAAAAGAAGGAAAATATTTTCAGATGTTTGAAGAAGGGAATATCACATGAAATAAGAAGAAATCATAAAGTGAAACAACTGACAGATTTTATAGATTCTTTCACTCATTCCATACTGATGGAAAAAATGGCATTTTGTTTCATGGTCTACATTGATTGAGCAACATAAAACATTATCAAATAAAAAAACAAAAAAACATTTTAAACTAAAATGTGGTTAACTTTGAGAAATTTTGTTTGAACAATTGAATTTTGCATTCTTGATGTTTTTTGTTTTTTTCTGTAAAAAATAAGTTGTCGTCTCCCTCCTTTTTAAAGGTGTGCACTGGACAAAGGCTGAAGAATGGATTGTCCGAAATGTTCATGGATACAAAGGAGTTTAAATGTCCAAAGCCAAATTTGAAAGCAAGGTCCTCTTAGAACTCAATTTAGATCTGTCTATCAATTGATGTAACATTTTTTTTGATTTTTCACAACAGAAAAGCCAATAACAAACATTACTGTGCTAATGACCTTTGCACTAAAGATTATTAGTACATTTGTATATATAATCCACTGATGATTTCCCAGAATTTAGTATCTTTATCTCTCTTTGATCAAACATTCTGCTGTCATGATGCTCTACAAAGGAAGAAAATAAAAATAAAAACTTAGTGATGAGTGGAAGGGGGGGGGGAGAAAAAATTATTCTTGATGTCACGAAAGAATATTGAAAAGAAAATGTATTTTTTGTAACCTGTGAAAAACTTTGATAATTTTTCTTTTTGTCCCCAAATGAAATGTGTATTTACAAGTACAATTCTTATGGTAGTAATTTGCTTAGGAGTGTGATACATTGTTTTAACAGCTAATTTAAAGATTCCTGTAGACAGTCTGTGTGGATTTGGCAACACAATCATGTAGCATTCTCTGAATATAATCATGGTCACTGACTCACTACTATCATTTAGTAATTTAATCATAAACCATTAGCATAAAAAAAAATGCCTACAAGATGTTAGTGTAAAGGTGGTCAATTATGAAATCTGTCAAGATATCAGATATAAAGGACTTAATGATGACACTGTTTTTCTTTTTTTCCATCAATGAATAAACATGAAATAGGTTGGAGGTGGAGGTGGGAATAACAAAGTTGTATGTAGTCTAGCTCAGAATCAGTCTGACACACAAAATGTAATACCACCCACAACCTGCCAAAAGCATTGGCCCATCACCCACCAGCAAATGACCCTGAATGTCAATGCATTTGATTATTGTTCATGGCAATTTAGCAATCCAGTTTAGAGATCAAGAACTGACATTGAAACTGTGCCAGAACGTCTGTAAGAAAAAATTACTTATCCATATTTTAAGAAGAGATTAAGGCTTCTATCAAGACAAAAAAAAATAAAAATAGTGGAAAGACTATATTGAAACCATTGCTGGATCAGCTGCTAAGAAAGTTGTTTCACTGTGTTATGCGAGACAATTTTTCTCTCCAGAATCTATCTTGCATATCTATGAGTCTACCATTCACCCAACTTTAATCTGCAAAAAAAAAAAAAAAAAATAAATGTAGTGTCAATCGCTATCTACTGTCCTCCTGATTACGCTTTCCTCTTCATTATTAACTTCTTGTGTCTTAGTTGCTTTACTGCCTTACATGGGGTGATACCGATAAAAAAAAATTAAAAGAATCATCAGTAATTTATTTAATAAAAAATCATTTAAAAGAATTAAAATATACTCAAAATTATCAACATCTATTTTTAATGATGCATTCTTAATAAAAACTCAAATATGGGGGCAAAACTAAATTCCATTTTTCATTAAAAACAAAAAAGTGTTTTGGTGTAAATCACATATACATGGATAATTGAAAAAAAAAAAAAAACATTTAATGGATTGTGGTGTATAAAAATGATAACAAAAGGAAAAAGGATGATATTCAAATTCATTTTGACTGGCTGCATTAAAAAGAAACATTTCAAATAAAGATTCAAATGGAAAGTATTCAATAAATAAACTATATTTATCTTAGATTGTAAAGTGACAGATGTGATAATTAAGATAATGGATAAAGAAAATTATCTGTAAAATTTACTTGTACATCTGATCCAATTTTAAAATTGCTACATACTGCTGAACAAAGAACACATCATCATTGAAATTGAATACCTAGATAACATTGTCAAAGTGTACTATAAAAAGAATTCACTTGTTGAAAGATGATAATATCAAGCCTTAAGTGGCATCTTGAATGCAAGAAAATATATAATCTTTGAAATTAGGCTAGACAATAAATTCTGTGAAAATATGAGTTTCTTTTCAGTATACTGCAAAAACAGATATTCATTTTTAGATACTAAATTGTAACAATAAAGAAAAAAAAAAAGATGATGATAAATAATTTAAACAAAGTCAGCTGGTAAATAGAATTCCAACTTGGCAATCATTCAAAGCAATTTCTTAAAAAAAAAAATATATTTATTGAGATTTTAAAAGAAAATCTTAAAATGACAAAGTATAAAAAAAAAAAAAAATGAAATTAAAGTAGTTTTTGTTTTGGTGAGCCAACTTTGAGCTCAAAATAACTTTTATGGTTAAGGGTCTTGGTTTAATTTGTGCTTCATATTTTTTCTCAACCAATAACAAAACTCTTACTCAATAATTTATGTTATTTACTCTCAAAAATTCTACAAATTTTAACACCAAAGACAAGCAAGCAAACAACAGTAAATAGAGAACAAAAAAGATTTGCAAAATGTAAATTGGTAAAGAAAGAAAATTAGAGTTTATTTTTTTTATTTATTGTTTGATAAAAATTGGCCAATAATGAAAATATTTTCATGTGGAAGACATGTATAGACTTAAATTTTGGTAAACAACCAAAAGATGATGGGGATGTAATTTTGAAAACAGTGATGGACATTTAGCACATTCTTGCTTTTTAGAAAAAAAAAAAAAAACCTTAACAGAGTTCATATGATCTATTTCTTTCTGTAGAAATAATTGTGATTTTTTATTCCACTTATAAATGAATATTTATTTCATAACAAGTCTATACTTCATGACTATTTCTGAACTGTGTGTATGTGCATAAAATTAACTCAAACATGCAACATTTAGGTAAGTTAGGTTTATAAAAGCTCAAATGTACTGGTGGATATACCAAATTAGATATACACTGCTAAAAATTTATGCAGTTTTATGTATGTACCTGCATTTTCTATAGACATAAAAAATTAAAAAAATATGAGGTTCATACAAGATAATTTAAATCTTGCATAATTTATAACAAATTTACATGTTATGCACCATTTGTTTGTTATTATTGTTCATTTGGGAACAGAACCATCAAAAATCAAATTGTATCATTGATTGAAATATTGTTGCATATTAATGATGGAAAGCAAAACTGTTCAAGAGGACATGGTTGAAGGCAAAAAAACAAAGAAATTGTCAAAATATAAACACGTGCTGGGCACATATGTTTGTATATAAAAACTATTTAATGAGGAGCATAGTTTTTCCATTTTTTTTTTTTTTAAATGTGAAATTAATGTCAACATTGCCCATTGTAAAAAATGTCTAACTAATAAAGACAATGTACTTCCTGGTAGCTTTGTCTCGATGGCTTCTTGTAACCTAATTGGTGGGGTATATTTAGCATAAATGTGCTTTCCCTGATATGAAAAGGAGAATACAGGTTTCTTTCCTGTCAGGAAGAACATTTTCTTTAGTAGGACTTTGATCGCTAGGCCAACTGACAATTTTAAACAAAACACACACAAGGATGTCTACTCTAACACATGTACTTATCAAATATAATGCTTATAGCAATAAGAAATGGTGCTGGATTGAAGGAATAAAAAACAAAAAAAAACAGTAAGTTTTTCTCACCCCCGCCCCACACACATCCCTCCCAAATGAAGATATCTGTAAAAGACTATCATATATTATTATACATGACTAAATTAATCATTAATTTCATTAAAATGTCTTAATTAAATTAACTTGATTATAATTATTATGTTTTTAAATTTTATTTTACATTTGATATCCTATGTAGATAACCAAAACCATTTAAAAATTTAAAATTTGGGAAATTAAAGTTCAAGCAAAAATATAAATTATATAATTACAAAATTTAAAGCATTGTATATATCATTGTAGGCAATGAATATTTTTTTTTTTTTTTTTTATAAAAGGCAGGTCATCACATAAGATCAATAGGAAGATATTTCAGTGAGAAATCTTATTTTTCTGCTAATCCACAACTTGTGCTTTCATCCCAACCTCTGTATGTCGAGATCTGTTTGTAAGGATGTTCTGCCACCACATCATGTGAACTTAGTTGCTTATAATTACAAATGTCAGTGTGAAGCTGAATGTTGAAATAGAAATAATCCAGTTAGCCTCTTTTTTTTTTTTTTATTTTCTTGTTTTGATTCACTTTATTGTGATTTATTTTATTAGACTTGCACTTTTTCCCCACCCGTTTGTTGTTGTTGTCTTTTTTTATATTTATTGTTGTATATAGTTCAGGGTAACCTTTTCCAACCAGTGGGCCACATGAGATATGGCTCTTTATAAAGACGGCGGCACTAATAAAAAAAAATTCAAAAGTAATTTTTCGTTGAAAATAAAAAGATCATTTCCCCTACAGAAGATTATACGTATAAGCATCTGTCTTAGAAATAAAGAAAAGATTGATATTTATTATTTGGAGAAAAGATTTTTTTCTACAATTTAAAAATTGAAGATTTCGTATATTGTCACTGATGACAACTGTGATTAACATGTGCGTGTGACTTGTTTTTTTCTAATTTATTAATTTGAAAATACAAAAATCTTTTTAAAAAGAAAAAAAATTCTTCTCCAGGGAAAATATCAATATGAATGTTCCTCTTTTTTAAAGGGAACTAATGAAAATCGCTAGTGCTTTAAAATGCTGAGAACTTTACTTTCAACGAAAGGTTGGAAAATTCAACATACTTAATCATTGTTATATGTAATTTAGTCAAACTGTACTCACAATACAAAATGCATTAATAAGTAAGGGAGCTTACTCAGGCATCTAATAGTTATTTCCCTTTAACACCAGCTTCTCTCAACAATTTTGCTAGAGAGAGAATGTGAGTGAACAAGTGAGAATGAAACAAAACATTAAATTTTAATAGACATTATTTTCCTCATTAAATTTGGTGTACCATTCAGTCATGGGCTACAGTTTGCCCATAACTGATATAGTTATATACAATGTCTGTTTTTATAGCATTAATAAAGTTTTGTACTCCCTATAGACTGTTTAATTAAAAAAGCTGGAAAATATTTCATTAATCTTTCTCCATGCAATTTAAAATTTACGGGATCTTTTTATTGTTGGGGCCATATTTTTTTTTTTTTTTTTGCATTTCACCTTTTGTTTTATGAAAGTGTAACAGAAGAGAACATAAAAAGTGAATGTAAATGGAGAAAGAAAAAACATAAAAGAAAGAGAAGGATTATATTTTCAAGTGACTGACCACAACAAATTTAATTCCTTTTTAAGGTCAAAGACCAAAGAACCAAGTGGAAGATGTCATTTGATATTTTACTCTTGAACATTTTAATTCAAGTGGAAAATATTTGGTTTAAAC